GGGAGGGGAGGGGGGGAGACAAGAGGTGGCTACAAAAATGAAATGTCTTATCTCTCATAAAATATTTTGAATTTACATCCGCAATTCATGAATTTAAAATTTTAAAAATGGTAAAATTTATACCAAGCTATTACTACTTGATAAAATGGTGCTATCAAAGATCTTGAAGTAAAATAGCGTTGAATAACGGAGTAATAAAAAATGACTATTAATTTCTCAATTTTTGTTGGATTAAACAAGGTTAAAGAAAAGAGAAAACATGTCTTGTTGCACTTTGTTATTCCATTTTGTTTCAAGCCCAAAATGTATGACTACCATCTTCGGGCTTTTGCATCTATACCCAGTTTTTGAGATCACAATTGAACCTATATCCGATATCCGCCATGTCCACTTTGTTCCTAACTCAATCCTTGTCACTATAACAAAAAAAACCAATGATAATGTCTCTCCTACATTAATTCAAGAGATATAGTCATAGGGATAAATTAAATCTATACCTTGCTATCACAGTTGAGTTGTAACTTGCAAAAATATTCCACTCTTCCTAGCTCTCGGTTCAAGAGAATCCCTGCTAATGTCGAAAAGCCCTCTATACTGTAATGAATTTTCTCTTAGTTATCTCAAGCTAATTGTTCACCTATTTATTACTTTAGGTATCCCCTTTAGGTCTTGCCCGTGACTAGGATGGTGGGCTTGGCCCACTTTATTAGTATAAAATATTTAAATTGTCAGTTGCCTAGCCCTCATTAATTAGACCATCAACCAATCACTTTATACCTATGTAAATAATAATCCCAATTAAAAATATATGTACATGCATATTAATACTCGTGAAAATTAAATAAATTATAACTAATAAAATATCAGGTTATTACATTATCCCCACTTAAAAGAATATTCGTCCTCGAATGTTAACCGACTTATACCCTATAAAAGAGAGGTATGAGTACTTCGTCGTTACACTCATCTTATCTTTTCATATTTACACTACATACGCCTTGTGCATCTTGTTTATTATGTCTAGTCATTGCAAAGAATCTCGGCGGTCCACCCGCTTCCTGAATACCTTGTGCACCTTGTTTATTATGTTCGCGGGCACCTTGTGCACCTTGTTTATTATGTAACATCCCGGACTTTAGACAAAGTCCTACGTCGGCAAAACACAAGAGGGATGGTGAGTATATAAGTTAACAAACCTTAGACCCTAGTGAAGCGTTTTAAACTCGTGAGGGTCTAGGCCCAGAGCGAACAATATCACTAGCGGGCTAGACTGTTACAATTGACCTGTCCAAATTAATCTACTAGCTTGTCAAACGTAATATAAGATCCAACATTCACGTCATTGATGTCCTATATATATAGTTCGAATTGTTGGAGAATACATTCATAAGTGCTGCTACAAAAACTTCATTCGTGAATTTTCATTAGTCATTAAACAAAGATCAAACATATTTTGTGGGCTTGACCTTGTAGAATGCTTCTGCTACTGTCAAAATACAATCGCAGGCACGGCAACATACAAGTTAACTGGACAAAACTGGAAACATTGGAGTAAATTTTCGGGATAAGTACAAAAAAGAAAAAAAAAAAGTTTAATTCCATAAATGGTATCTGGGAAGGGTAGTGTATAGGCAGACCTTACCCCTGCCCTATAAAGTTAGAGACGTTTTCTGGATGAGTAAATGTTAGTTTTATTATTAATAAAAAAAACTGCACCAAGCAAGTGCTGAATTTACAAATATGATAGACTACATCTTCTTTTAACTATGTTTCGATTTAATGAAGTCCATGACAGTATTGGACTTATATATACATAATGCATTTTACACCAAAATGACTGTACATAGTTTACGCATTTGATAAAACATTTATTGCTATTTCTCTCTAAATGCTCCACACAATACCAGAAGGAATTGCATTTCGCAGATTGGAGAAACGTCTAAACATAGAATCCACTTAACCATGCCTGAGATCTTTGTTCTGCCTCGGGGAATTTGTGCTCCCAACTCTAGAACTCAGTATACTTAGAGAAAGAGCAAATGAATATGTTCGGAATATCACTAGCTATAGCCGTCAGCGTCCCTCAAAGTCCCTTGGTGTCTACAGGCAGAAATATAGTCTTTACTTAGCATATCTTTGCATACTTTATCAAACAATACAATAAACATTTTACAGTAACGTATGTGGATGATCTGAAGATTTAAGTAATGGGTTCTTGCTTACCACATCAAAATCAAGAGAAGCAACTTCTTTCCTAGAAGGATAGAGCACATAATGTTGCACAATGAAGAGAATGTCCAAGAATATCGACACCAACAACATTCATTTCATCAAAACCACATAATTGTCTAGGACTTACATAACCAGTAATTAGGCTCAAGAATCAGATACAAAGAGAATCTGAGATAAGTGTAGTAAATAAATAGATAGATATAAAAGAATATTTCTTACCAATGACAATAAGGTCTTGCCGATGTTTCCATAAAAGTTAACCAAAGAATCTGTACAGAAAATAGTTCGAAAATAAACATTAGGCACATATACAGAATCTCATAGAATTCCTTTACTAGGTAAAAATGTAACGACCCGACTTGTCATTTTAAGAATCTATGCCCCATTCAGCTATTTAAGGTCCCGAGCAACTTCGTAATATGTATTATGACTTGCATGTGCGGTCGTTTGATTTTCGAAAGATTCAGAATTTAAATTGAAATAACAATTCTCATTTTTTAAGCTTAAATGAAAAGAGTTGACCGAAGTTTGACTATTGAGCAAACGATTTTGGAATAGAATTTTGATAATTTCAATAGGTCTGTATGATGATTTTGGCCTTGGGTGTATGTTCGGGTTGAGTATCAGGTGGCCAGGAGTATTTCGGCGCTTATTACTGAAGGTTGGCATTTTTAAAGTTTAAGAATTCCTAAGTTTGGGTTGAAGTGAATTTTGATGCTATCGATATCCGTTTGGGATTCCAATCCTGGGAATAGCTCTGCATGATGATTCTGGTCTTAGGGGAGCGTCCGGATGTGGATTTGAAAATCTGTAGGTCATTTCGGGGTCATTTGGCAAAAGTTAGAAATTTGAAGGTTTTTGGGAAGTTTGACCAAGAGTGGACTTTTTGATATCGTGGTCGGATTCCGATTCCGGAAGTGGGAGTAGGTCCGTAATGTCAATTATGACTTGTGTGCAAAATTCGAGGTCAGTCGGATTTGATTTGATAGGTTTTGGCGTCGAATGTAAAACTTTGAAGTTCTAAAGTTCATAAAGCTTGAATTGGGGTGTGATTCATAGTTTTGATGTTGTTTGATGTGATTTGAGGCCTCGAGCAGGTTCGTGTTATGTATTGGGACTGGTTGGTACGATTGGCCGGGGTCCCGGGGGACTCGGGGTCCCGTGGGCCTCGGGGTCCCGTGGGCCTCGGGTTTGATTCGGGGTGGTTCCGGACCAAGTTTGGGTGTTTTGATATTGTTGGTTGCTCGTTCTGGTGTTATTCTTCGCGTTCGCGAGGAGCCTCTCGCGTTCACGACGAAGGATTTTGCTGTTGGGACTTTGTTCTTCGCGTTCGCGAAGAAGGAAATGTTGTTGTTCGTCTTTTGACTTTGGAGGCTCATATCTCGCAATCTATAAGGAATTTTAAGATGATCCAAAATTAAAAGTTGTAGCCCTTTGTATCTAGTTTTTAGAAACGTAAGCCATTTGTCATTTGGAGTTGTGTACAAAAAGTTATGGTAGATAAACTATAGGCTATCTGAGAAGAGTTTGGAAATCTCTATTGCATAGGGATAACTTTGGAAGCTTATATCTCGCAATCTATAAGAAATTGGGAGATAAGCAACAAATGAAAGTTATATTCTTTGGAGTCTAATTTTCAAAAAGTTAAACCATTAATCATTTGGAGTTTTGTACAAAACGTTATGACTATTATACTAGAGGCTGTCTGAGAAGAGTTTGAAAATGGCTGTTGAAGAATTTGTTCATCGTGAATGCGAGGGGAGTGTCGCGAACGCGAAGAACAAACCCCTAGGCAGCATAATAAAGTCCAATTTAGTCTCATTCTTCCATTATTGGACCAAGGAAGCTCGGGTGAGGCGATTTTACGAGAGTGTTTCAAGGAAAACAATGGGGGTAAGAATTCCTAACTTGATTTTGGTTAAATTACATGAATCTATTGCTGTTTTATCACTAAATTAGTGAATTGGGTTGAAAATGGTAGAAATTCTCTAGACTTTAATTTATGATTTGAAGGGCGATCCGTTATCGGAATTTGATAATTTTGGTATGGTTGAACTCGTATCAGAATGGGTGTTCAGATTTCGTAAAATATTTGTTGGATTCCGAGGGGCGGGCCCCGTGTTTTCTTTTTAGAATAAAATTTTAAGTTGGTATTTTATTATCCGGAATTATTTCCGATGAGTTTTAATGAAGTTATACAATTAGTTTGTTTAGATTTGAGCTGTCCGGAGGTCAATTCAAGCAAATGAATATCGGCCTAACTTCAAAAAGGTAAGTATCTTGCCTAAACTTGTGTGAGAAAATTTTCCCTTAGGCATTAAGTCTTACGTGGAGATTGTGTGATTAAAAATCATGTACGCGAGGTGACGAGTACGTACTTGGTTTATATGTGCAAATTATATCGGTTAAAATTCGTAGACACCCTTATGTATTAAATTGGAAAATTGTTGGAACTTATTAAATCCTTTATTTGTCATGCCTCTTTTCCTTGTTTGACGAGGTTGTTTTTATATGGTAATTTGATATGATTTCCACTTGTTTTTTATGTGAATTCTGTGTTTGTTGAGTTTCCATTTCGTGAAAATAATTTCATTATGAATTTTTCCTTTGCAAATAATTTATTAAATAATTTTAAAAGGAGACATTAATCTATTTGCTAAAACTTTAGATTAAAGAAGGCGTTGTTCCTTGATGAATTACTTTTCAGTTCATGTCATTGAAATTGGTATTGAGTTATAAAGGTCGTAAATCATATTGAGGCGAAGTGTTAAATTATAAAATATTATTTTGTTGAGTTTTTCACTCCCGGATATTTTGTTAAGATTTTTGTGCGCATTATGGCCGAGTCGTGAGCTTCTTATTGTGGAAAATTAATGTATTGTTGATTTATGTGGAAAGTTATAATATTTGGACACCTGATGTGCAATATGTGATATTTTATAATATTTGAGCACTTGATGTGCAATTTGTGATTGTCACGACCCGAAATTCCTACCTTCAGGATCGTGATGGCGCGTAATATTTCACTTGCTAGGAAAGCCAACGTTAAAATAATCTTAACTATTTTAAAGCAAATTTAATTAAATAGAAGTCAAATTACTGAAATAAAGTGTGGAAGACCATAAATACCGAATTATCAAAATACATCTCCGAATCTGGTGTCACAAGTACACGAGCTACTAGGATAATACAAATAAAGGTCTGAATAAAATTCAAGCTATTTGAAAGATAATACACAGCTAAGATAAGATAGAAGGGGACTTCAGAACTGCGGACGCTGTGCAGTTATACCTCAAGTCTCCTCTGGGTAGTTGAATCCGAGCAAGTTTATGGTACGTCGCTGAGACCAACTCTAAAATCTGCACAAGAAGTACAGAGTGTAGTATGAGTACAACCGACCCCATGTATTCTGTAAGTGTCGAGCCTAACCTCGATGAAATAGTGACGAGACTATGACAAGACACATACATAAACAACCTGTACAAGTATATACAAATACGAAGCAACAATAAAATAATAAATAACATTTTATAAATTTGGGAGGGAACATGCTAAGGGGGTTGATATAATAATTTTAGCAGGAGAATTATCACTTAGCAGCCAAATAATTCCTCAACAATAAAATGAGCAATTGATGATATGAAAATGGCACGACACCACTCTTCGTGCTTTTACTCTCATTTGGCATGGCATCACCCTTCGTGCTTTTACACTTTCTGAAAATGACACGACATCATCCTTCGTGCTTTTACACTCACAAATGGCATGACAACACCCTTCGTGCTTTTACACTCACAAATGGCACGACAACACCTTTCGTGCTTTTACACTCACAAATGGCACGACAACACCCTTCTTGATTTTACACTCTTACTTACCATGACAATGATATTATAAATAATAAAAATAGCACGGCATCACTCTTCGTGCTTTTACAATCTTCCTTACTATGAAAATAATAATATAAATTTGGAAGAGTATTTAAATGCGGGCATATGCACTTATCAATCTATTCAATACCAGAATACTGACTTCACCTTCCAAAATATTCAACAATAATTAAATGAATAATAATTTCACGAATAATGATCAAATAATCAATAATAAACTTAAATAAGAATATCTTAATTAAATAGGCAATTATTCATAATAAACAAATTCCACCCGCATGCTTTGACTCAACCACAATGCATAAGTACTCGTCACCTCACATATATATTATACCCGCACATTAAATCACGTAGCAAATAGACAACTAAGTCCTACTCTCTCAAGTCAAGGTTAACCACGACACTTACCTCACTTTGCAACCAAATTCAAGAATCCAATAAGCCCTTGCTTCGCGAATTGTCCGAAATCCTAAAATCTAGTCATAAACAATTTAATATACTCAATACAAATCGTAGAAATTAATTCCATATGAATTTACTAATTTTTCGGATTAAAATCCGAAATTCATCTAAATTCGACTGTGGGGCTCACGTCTCGAATCTCAGAAAAACTTACGAAATTCAAACACCCGTTCCGAGACGAGTCAAACCATACAACAATTATCAAATTCCGATGTCAAATGAACCTTCAAATCTAAACTTTTCGTTTTTGGAAAGTTTTACAAAAATTCCAATTTCTTCCATCTAAATCCGAAATAAAGGATGAATATAGACATGAATTTATGAAATATAATCACTTTTGGTTATAGAACACTTACCCAATTCCAAGTCGTGCAAAATTCCTTTGAAATCGCCTAAATCCAAGACTCAAAACTCAAAATTGAGTAAAAATGGCTAAAACCCGATTTTATGTATTCTGTCCAGCATTTTCGCACCAGCGGACTATATTTTTGCACATGCGGCTTCGCATTTGCGGAACAGGGCAGCTTGTCCAGTGGCCACATCTGCGCCCAAAAATGTCGCACCTGCGACATCGCAGAAGCGCCTAGTGACCGCAGAAGCGGTCTTCCTCACAGAAGCGACTCGTCCATCACGGATGCAGTTGCGCACCTGCGCTCATTTCTCCGTAGAAGCGGAGCTCGGTAGGGCTGTCCAATGTCACAGAAGCAATTGGAATTCTGCAGGAGCGACCACGCACCTACGCACAAAATGTCGCAGGTGCGACACACCAGAACCAGCACTAGGCAGCAAGTTCCAATTGCTCTGTGACTCGTCCGTAACTCATCCGAGCCACTCGAGAACTTGTCCGAATATTCCAACAAGTCCCGTAACATAATGCAGACTTACACGGGGTTTCAAATCACGTCAAACAACATCAC